GACAGGACCATAAAAGTGTGAGTATTATAGGTCTGCTACTGGAGTCCAGGCTGGCTTCCTTATTACTGAGAAAATACAAGGAGATCTGATGTGAATTCATAGGGTGACTTGAATTACTTCAAGGGAGGGATGCTCCATTGATAAAGGCATTTTTGCCGAAACGTTGGGGGTGTGTTGGTGACTGACTGTCCCTGCTTCTCACTAGGTCTGGTATGCTTATTGTTATATATGTTTCTGTATATTTATGTCTATGTTTGTGGAGTTGGATTAGACTGGTATTTTATTTCTCTATTTTTGTATATTGAGACTCTGTTATTCATATAAGACACTTTTGGCATTTATACATATATATTCAGAATTTTTCTGATCATTGCTGTATAGCGTGATATGATCCTATATTTTGGATCTTTATGTTGTGTGATATTCTTATAGAGTATACTCACTTAATAAAGATTGTTTTATTACTATTGATGGTTGTGCTCCTTACTCCATTGTTATTTATATGTATTTGGGCTTTTGGGGATAAAGCCTTGTGTGAGTGAGCACCCCATATTGTATTTTCATAGAGCTCCACTTGGGAGCTTGCATATAGTTCATATTGAGTGTGCCTACCTTATTCAATTTTTGATTAGATAAGGTGATCTGCCAGGAATCTGCATTAAATGTGATAAACAAGGGATAACACTGATAGGCAACATCCACAAACAAAACAAAGTGGTATTACTTCCTCAATTACGTTTGTCATCTATAGTTATCTAAATTCCTACATAGGAACATTGACAGGAAAAATAAACAAAAACACAATAAATGTAACAATACAAGATCAGTACAGGGCCAGATTTGCCGTAAGGCCACCGAGGCCATGGCCTCAGGGTGGCATGCAAGCAAGGGGCGGCACGGCCGGATGGGAAATCAAAGATCTCCCTCGCCGGCAAGCCGATTCTCCTGTCATGGGGCTGGCACTCAATATTGTGTCACAGCGTTGCTACCACAACTAGTGATGTACCGAACGGTTCGCCGGCGAACGGTTCCTGGCGAACATAGCATGTTCGCGTTCGCCACGGCGTGCGAACATATGCGCGGTTCGACCCGCCCCCTATTCGTCATCATTGGGTAAACTTTGACCCTGTACCTCACAGTCAGCAGACATTCCAATGATGTAGCACAGCCTCCTAGCAG